TGATCCCAGGGAAAAACTGCTGGGGTGGGAAATGCAGCATCCCTGGCACGGCCTGGCCAAACCTGAGTGCTGCTGCTCAAGGGCACCCTTGGAAAAGAACCCAAAGCCTGAATTGTGTGGTTTTCAGTGCCTGGAGCCGGGCAGGAGTGAGGGAGATGGGTGAGTCACTCCTGCCACGGAGCATCCTCGTCAGGAGAGCTCAAACGATGCCAATTAGTGTGAAATTGCTCATTGTCCCCTTTATCCCCACACCCGTCATCAGCAGCCCACGGAGGGAACAGCAGTGCCTGTGACACAACACTTGAGCTCAGCAGAAACCCAGGAGCATCCCTAATTGACTGTCTGCCCAGGGTGATTATTATAATTAAGCCAGACTTCAGGAATTGCAAGTGACATGGAAAAAACACCCCCCAGCTCCCCAGTTTTGATATGACACCATGGGGAGGGTTTTGGTGCCTCCCCCTCGCCAGTTCTTGCTGGTTGGGTTTTCACGTGGACGCCTGGTCTTTGTTTGTTTGTTTTTATCTGTTTATTCTGCTGCTGACCCTGGGTTTGGGAGGTGGAAATCCTAGGAGTGCACACATTCCTAGCACCTAGAAGTGCTCAAGGCCAGGTTGGACAGGGCTTGGAGCAGCCTGGGATAGTGGAAGGTGTCCCTGCCCACCGTAGGAGATGGGATGGGATGAACTTTAAGGTCCCTTCCAACCTAAACCTAAAATTCCATGGTTCTGTGAAGTTTTATGCCTCCTCCACCTCAGCACATAGTCTTGACTGATAATTCTTCACCTTAACAAGGAAAGGAGAAGCCCCAGGGACTGGGAGAGCATCCACCCCAAAACTGCCACGGCTGGGAGCAGCCAAGGAGCAGAACCCAGGCTTGGGTTGGGTCATTTACCCTCCAGCACCCATAGGAGACACCCAAGACTTCCCAAGGGGAAATCTCTCCATGGTGGTGCCCCCGAAAACACCCTCCTGGGAGAGTGACCCCTCTCCCAGCCCAGAACCATCTCCCACCACCCCCCTTGCCACCCCCACGCCGCCCTGCTCCCTCCTTGGCTCGTTCCAGGGATGCCCTGGCAGCGGGGCCGCAGCTGCAGCGCTGGCACAGGGAGAGCTGCCTGTGACGTGGATGTTCCTCACTCTGCAGACAAAGGCTCCGGGGGTGGCTGTGTCTGTCACACACCACAAGTGCCCTATTTTCTCCTATTTTCTCCTATTTTCTCCTATTTTCTCCTATTTTTCCTTTTCCATCCCGTCGCAGCACGGCTCCAGCAGCAGCACAGCCAGGCTGGCATCTGCCAGGAGTGGGTGGCCAGCAGCAGGAGGGGGGCACAGAGCAGGGTGGGTGCTGAGCACGGGGTGACATCCCCATCAGGCACAGGGTGACATCCTCATCAACTCAGGGGAAGCAAATTTTGTGGAAGTTACTGAAGTATTGCATAATTTTTTGCTTCACACCCCTGAGCAGCAGGATCAGGCACAAGGGCCAAGGGAGGAGCTGGCAGATGCAGGAAGGAGCCAGGGGTTTGGTGGCAGAAGGATCCCAGAATCACACAATGTCCTGAGTTGGAAATGACCCACAGGGATCATCAAGCCCCTGTGTGGCCCTGCCCAGACACCCCAACAATCCCATCCTGTGCCTGGGAGTGTCCAAACTCTCCTGGAGCTCTGGCAGTCCTGGGGCTGTGCCCATTCCCTGGGGAGCCTGGGCAGTGCCCAGCACGCTCTAGGCGAAGGACTTTCCCCTGAGATCCACCCTAAACGTGCCCTGGAACAGCTCCAGCCATTCCCTGGCTCCTGTCCCTGGTCACTGCAGAGGTGTCAGTGCTGCCACTCCACTCCCCACTGTGGTGTAAAATCCTGCTGTGAGGAACGACAGCAGAGCAAGGCTGGGGAGAAACGAGATGACAGCTCTGATAAAAACCCCAAATCCCAGCTCCTGTAACACCACAGGGCCAGGCTGACCCCGTGCCAGAAGAGGGGCAGCTCCTCTGGGCAGGGCTGTGCCACCAGAGCCAAAGCACCTGGAGAGGGACAGGGGCAACAAGAGGCTTCAACATCACCGAGCCACTTGCACAAGGATGAAATGATTTACATTAAAAACACCCCCCCAAGAGGAAACCACCCAAGTCCCAAAGGATACTCACCCTCCACCCTCTCATGGGCTAAAAGATTCGGTTCAGCCTCCCAAGACAAGGAAGATGCCGAGTTCCTGGTGCTGGTCTGTGCTCCAGAGCCCCGTCCCAGCCCAGGAGCTGCTCCCTGGGCCCTCAAACCCAACACCCAACACCAGCACAACGCAACCGAGTGTTGCCACACCACGGATGGTTGTGACACAGCTGCTAAAAACCTAAATAAGCCGCTCTTCCAGACTGACCCTCTGCAAATCCCTCCTAATCCAATCTTGCTTATGGCATTAAGTTGGACCCTCCCATGCTGAACGCCCCTGTTTGCTCAACAATTGGGAAAATCTTGGTCTTTTCTCAGTCCTGGTTGAAGCTCTGATGCAGAAGTCACCAGAGCTTCCCTCTCCTCGTGTATGGAGGTGTTTGGGGACAGGGCTACACCTGCACTCCCAGCTCCACATCCCACACCTCACAGTCTGGGCATGGAAAACTTCCCTCTGTGCCAGTGTGACACAGCCAGGAGTTCTCCTTTGCTGGGATCCGTGTGGTTTGAAACAGAGTTTTCTCCACCTTATCCAGACACAAGGGAAGAGCTGGAGAAGATAAACCCTGCTCTGACCTCCAGTTTCCCCCATAAATCCCAGGTTAGGAAATAAACCCCAAACCACATTCGCTTGGTGTGTTATTCCCACAGAAGATGCCAGAACCACATTCCCCACCGTGGCTGGGGGTTGGGAACGCTCTGCCCTCCTTGAGGCCATCCCACAGATGGATCCCACGATAGGAGGACACAAACCTGTGGGTTTGCCACAGGCTGTCACAGCCACACGGCTCTGTGATGCTGATTCCTGCAGGGGAGGAAAAAACCCTGCCCGTGTGTCCCCAGGGTCCTCTCGGTTAGCAAACATCTGCCACCCCACGTGTGTCAGAGCAGCTCAGCCAGGCAGCCAGGAGGATGAAAGTGTTATAATTACCCTCAGCTCCCTGGAATCTGCAGGAAAGTCGTGCCTCTGAAAAGGAAACCTGTTTTATCTTTCCTAAAGCCAAACCTGTTTATAAAGGGAGACACGGCTGGCCCAGGCTGGAGCTCCTTTCCCTCTGCTTCCCCTCCAAATAAGCCTGATCGTGTTTGGATCCATCACACTCAGTACAGGAACATCCACGGGGATCTGTACCCACCAACTCTGCCTGCAAGTCCTCATGGACCTGGGGAAGAGCTCCAGAGGGATTCCATCCATGACAAACCAGCCCTTGGAGCATGGAAAACCACCACGGAATCCCAGCAGCGGGGGAGCTGGGAGGAAGGAGGTTGGATTTCCTCCCTCTCACCCATTCCAGGCAGTGGGAAGGGCAAGGAGCAGCCGTGGGGCTGCTGGGAGGGCAAAGGTGGCAGCTCTGTGTTGTGTTGTCACAGTGTCCCAGGGCTGGGGTGGTGGCACATGGTGGCAGCAGGAGCCTCAGGATGGTGGGACCCACCTCAGCTCGGGCAAAACAAATGGGATTGACAGGGAATGGCAGCAAAACTCAACCTCTGATCCCCGCCCCAGCTCCCCTCCAGCCTCCCCCACACGAGCTGTGGTGACACCTGCAGTGCTGGTGGCACCTCCAGCACAGCTCTCTGTCCCAAGTCCCCTCTCCTGCTCTAGCTCAGCTGGTCACAAGCCAGGGATGAGCATCACCTCCATCTGCAGCATCTTTCCCAGGAAGAGTGGGGTCCTCACACGTGGGAGAGGAGCTGGTGGGAGCCCTGCAGCCCCCAGAGCGTTGGGACACAAGCACAGGATGCTCAGGACACCCCAGTGGCCACGGCACCACAGGGAAGGGCACCAGCATGGTGGGAATAGAGCCCAGAATGTGGATATTAATGCATTACAGTGGCACAGGATCAATGCCCTTTTCCTGCTTTTATTCCCAAATCCTGACAAAGATTGGGTCCCTGAGCAGGCCACCTCAGCCATCCTCTCCTGAGCATCCTGCTGATGTGTCACCTCCCTGCTCTCCCAATTGTCACCTCTGCAATCCCAGAGGATTCAGCATCGACCATCCTGCTCAGCAGCAAGGGACAGGGACAGGGAGGACAAAAGAGCCACTGCACTTCCAGACACTCCATCCCCAGGGAATCCCATCCCTAATCGGTTTGCATGAAGATCTTCCAAATTCATGAGCAAATAACCAAGAATAATAAGAGTGACTAAATTAACTCCAGGCTCACGGTCCTGCAGCTCCCTGTGATGGGATGTGCTCCTTCCAGTGGGATCAGATGGGATGGAATGGGACAGGGCAGGTTGGGATGGAATGGGCTGAGATGGCAGTGCCAGTCACCCCTAAGTGACTATTTTTGAACACAGGCACCAAATCTACCCAAACCAAGCTCATTTTGAGCTGTGGTGTGGAAGAAGATGCTCCTTGAGGTCCCTTCTAACCCAAACCATTCCATGATTCTCTGATTTTACCCTCCCAAGCTGCTTCCCTGGCCAGGCTCTCTGGAAGTGCCTTGTGTGTTGTTATTTCCCTTCCAGCTCCAGCAGTGACTCCTGGATCTCTGTTTGTGTAAAGCTTCACCACATGCCGGGTAACAGCCCAACAAGGAATTTACAAATATCATCTTTGGAGGCAGCAATTGCCACTCCAGCCATCTGTCAAACCAGGAGCCTGGCAGCAGAGATGCCACAAGTTGGGATCTCATGGCAGCCGCACTTTGGTCACCGACCCCCAGGCTTACCAAAATAAACCTCCAAAACTTTCCAAACCACTGCAAATTTTCCAACTTTTGCCATTCCACACCTCCCTGCTGCAAGCCAGCACCCAGCTGGGATCAGCACCCACCCTCCAGCCCCAGCCTTCTCCCAGGGGAGCCCCAAAATTCCCTTTTACCTCCTGCTCCTTCCAGAAGCGTCGGGGATGCCCAGCCCCGGGCGGGCACAGCCTGGCGTGCCAGGGACACTCCCGGCAGCATTTACCGCTGTCCAATGATTCATCCAAGCTCCGGGTGACAAAGTGAAAGCCAAACAAGGTGAGGCAGGGATGCGCCCGATGCTTTTCCCTGTCCCCGGGTGCCGCCCGCCCACGGCAGCTCCGGCGGGACTGGAAAGACCTGTTGGTGCTCCTGCCGGAGCCAGGAGGGCAGGGGCTGGCAGGAGAGGTGTGGCAGAGGCCAGCAGGGCTCCTGTCACCGCCTCCGGGGCTGTCACTGGCCCCAGGGCTGCTGTCACCGCCTCTGGGGCGGTCACCGACACCCTGTGAGGGCTGGGGATACTTTGGGTGCATCCCACATCCCAAAGGGGGAATCCAAACCTATTCCATCCCCTGCCCAGGGAATGAAATAATTTCATCTGTCCTTGAGTCAGGCTGGGCCTGGAGACCCCTGACCTGCGGCTCGGACCCCCAAATGCTCGAGGGGTAACCCCAGTAATCCCCCATCCCAAATCCAGACCCGCTGGGATGCCCTGAGAGCTGTTCCCCATCTCCCACTGCAGCACAAAGCGCCTGCAAACAGCACAGCCAGGGGAGAGAAAACAGGAAAAAATCCAGGGGGAAAGGCAGCTTTATTTCTCGCTGACATTTAATAACCTTTATTGTCCTCTGAGCAGCAGTTTCCCATCCCAAGAACCGTCAGCACGGCTGATTTTCCTCCAGGCTGGAAAAGCTTTGGAGCCTGGCAGCTGCCCCATCCCCTCACCCTGCACCAGAAACCCCAAAAGGCTCCAAACCAGAAGGAAATGCTGTGGGATGTCGGGATTGGGGTGGCCCTGCTGGAGCTCCCTGTAAATCCCTGCTGCATCCTGCAGCCCCGGGATTCTCCCCACAGCATCCCCAGGCTGCTGGGGCAGATCTTTCAGCACTGAGGCTGCACAAAACATTCCAGGGACACAGCAGAGCATCCGAGCCGGTGGATGAGGCACTTACCAGGCACGGGGGAGAGGCACTGACAACTCGCAGGAGGCGAAAGGAGGAATTAATGGTGCTGCAATTCCCACTGCCTCCATCGTTAGGGAAGGAAAACGCATCCGAGCAGCCTCACTCGAATGCACAGCGTAATTTGTTTTGGATTTAATGTCATCCTGCTTCCCGGAGATGGGCTGGAGCTGGGAAAAGCCTCTGCTTGTATCGACCATGCCCCAGGGAAGGTGGAAGCAAAGGAGGGGATTTGAGGAGTTTTATGGAGGGGAAAAGCTCAGCTGAACTTGGGCAGTGCTGCTGCTGCGACCACTGAAGTGAGACATCACCCCCAGGAGCTGCTGGCTAAAAAAAATACCTCAAATCAGCTCCATATTCCTATCATATCATAATACCTAGCATCAGCTTGATATTCCTACCAATATTTTATGAAGATTCTCAGCAAGGTTTTCTCCTGCCCACCAAACTCTGCACGCTAAAAGCAGCATCACCTCACCCGAAACCAGGAGTTTGGGGACAGCACAGGGAGAGGGGAACCGCAGTTTTCTCTGGGATTTAATCCTCTCTTGGAGCCCTGAGCTTTGCAGGACGAGGTCAGGATTTTCCCCAGCCTGATGTGTTTCCTCCCTGGGGCCTCTTGTTTGTGCAGGCGGCTGTGAACGTTTCCTCCTCCCGGAAAAGCTCAGCAGGGAACAGCCCGGATGGGCGCTCACACCCCTGACTCCCCCAGCCTCCAAAACACTCCTAATTCAGGAATCAGATCTGCTCAGCTCACCCCTCCCTAAAACCTGCACAGCTCCCCTGCACCTCCTGCTTCTGGCTTTTAACCCAAATTCATAACCCAATCCAGGGCCCTGAGCCCTGCCAGGGTTGGGAATTCCAGTCAAATCTCCAGGTGCTGCTGGAAGAGAGAAATAATCAAATACAGACCTTGGGGGGGCTCCCACGGCAGCAAAATCGCTGGGTTTTTCCTGCAGGGCTGGAACAAGGAAGAGATAAACCACGTTTGCTCCAGAGCACAGGCAAACAACTGCTTATCACCACGTTGGCAGCCTCAAGGCTATTGCAGGGTGTCAGGAAATGTATTATTCCTCTTCTCTCCCGGGAAAGGTTCTATTTTTGGCCCCTCCGTCACAGGGAGCTGCTGGGGGCTGGGAGAGCAGCCAGCCCTGCAGAGCCCCTTCCCTCCCACTCACCTGGGAGCAGATGGATTTTGGGGAAAACAGAGGTGGTTTTGGTTCAAGCTGCAAGATCCACCCTCACCTGGCTCACAGAGAAAGCTGCAGGGAGAAGTTAGAGATTCTTCCAGCACCTAAAGGGGCTCCAGGAGAGCTGGAAAGGGATGGAGGGACAGGACACAGGGAATGGCTCCCACTGCCGGAGGGCAGGGCTGGATGGGATATTGGGAAGGAATTGTTCCTTGGGAGGGCGGGGAGGTCCTGGCTATCACTGCCCCATCCCTGGAAGTGTCCTCTGGACAGTGCTTGGGAGCACCCAGGGACAGTGGAAGGTGTCCCTGCCCATGGATGGGGTGGAATGGGATGAGCTTTAAGGTCTCCCCCCAACCCAAAGTGCTCCACGGTTCTGTGATAACCCAAAGCTCAGCTGCGAAGGAGCAGAGCCAGACTTTGTGCTGGATTTTCTAATGGCATTTTAGGGGGGCATTGGTCATTTTCAGGCTGGAAAATGATAAATCCTGTATCCCTGGGGGGGGGACAGAAAAAGCCACAGCTGCCCTGACCCAGTGCTGTGTGGTGGTGAGAGACCACTGGGTCCTTCTGCCACCCCATTTGTGACACTCCCTGCACCACAATTCCCTTGGCCAAAGAGGAGAGATCCATCCATTTTTCTCCTCTCCACCACAACCCTGCAATGCCCAAACCCAAAGAGCCAACACATGGAAAAAGCCCATTTTTGATGATTCCCTTCTGTCCAAGTATGAGATCGGTAATTGAGGGTAAAATTCCATCCAGGGTCCTGAAAATAGCCCAATAAATGAGCTCAGCTCTTTGCTGGTTGACTCAGCTAATCCTTCAGCTGCCGCCAGACAGCTTTGATTGTATCTTCTCTCCTTGGGCTCCCTTTAATGCCAAGGCCAAGCTGTGGCAGCTGCAGCAGCTCCGTGCAATTCATAATCTGCCTTTATTCCTGGCTGCACCACTGAACAGAGGTCGGCTCCCGCTCCTGGCTTGATTTATGAATATGGATTTTGTTGGTTAAGCCATTAGGAGCGGTGATGGAGCAATCCCTCGTACATCCTGCACCGCGGAGCGCCTCATTTGCAGCCCGCTCCGCAGAACGCTCCCCCTGCAACGCTGTTCATGCAGGGAAGATTATATTAAGGCTTTGTCTGTAATGCTGTAATTCCACCTCGCCTCCCTGAGCCCTCTCCGATGGGAAACAACCCCGCCGCAGGCAGGGAAGCGCTGGGGAAAGGAGGGAACTCGTGCCCAGCGGGAGGAGCTGATATCCCGCCCCAAAAGCTTCGAGGAAAGTGTTAAATCTGCTGAGAGCCCAGCGGGGACCCCGCTCCGGCTGTTTGTGGTGTTCCATCCATCCATCCATCCATCCATCCATCCATCCATCCATCCATCCATCCATCCATCCATCCCAGGGGATGCTCCAGCTGGAAGAACCGGGATTAGGGAGGGGTTTATCCTGCTCTACTCCAGCACAGCCCGGGCAGGGCAGAGTCCCCAGCACGGCCGAGCATCGCTCCCCAGGGAAGCCCAAACCGGTTGGATCCCTCTCCCGGAGCCGCATTCCCCGCTCCAGGGTCAGCACGTCCCAGCCCCGTTCCGCAGAGCTTTGTGGAGGAAGAAACAGGCTGTGCCCGGAGGCCTCGCTGTGCAATTAGAGAAAACAAAGAGGGAGAAGGGAATTGTGCGGGATACAGCTCCCGTTCCCTGGCTCCCAGCCGTGGCTTTTCCCATTGCTTGTTTTGGAGAGGAGGTTTCCCCTCCAGCTGCCCCCGTGTCAGGCACCGCCCAGCACAATTTGGCACCTTCTCCCTAAAATAAACAGCACCAAGATGTGGTCATGGATGAAGCAAGCACGTTGTCCACGCGGGAATCTTTGGAGAAGGTCCCAAGCAAAGCCAAGTTTCCCTTTCACAGCAAAAATGCTTGGAAAGGTGCACGAGTAATATCTCTATTCCAGAGCGGCAGAAAATTAAATTTCCATGTTATTTATCCAAGAACTCCTAAATGGAGCGGATCCATCCAGCTCATCACTCACCAGCATCTCCTCGTTTGTTTTTAATTAGCGGGAACACGCAGGGGGGAGCCAGGCGGGTACCGGAGCTCGGGATCACGGGATATCGGGAAAACCATCCCGACAGGCCGGGAGCAGGGGTGGGATGAAGGCACCGGAGCAGGGAACAAGGGGACACTCGCTCTGAGGGCTCAGGGGTGATGGAAACCAGGATTGAGGGACGGGAGTCACACGAGGCTCCCTAGGAAGAGCAGCACTGGGTGGGTGGCGTGTCCTAGGACAGGAATAATTTGGGTTCCCGGAGATGAGGAGAGGGGTGACAAGGTGACTGAAAGCCCCAGGGAAATACCCATGGAGGAAAACGCTTCCTAAAGAGGTAAGAGATGAAGGGAGAGAGGGAGGGAATTTGGGATTGTCCCCCAGGTACCGGAGATGGGATGATGGGAATTGGTTCCCTTGGGATCAGCTGGAGAGGGGTGGGAGGTGCGATGGCGGATTGGAGGGGGAGCAGGGAAGGAGCGGCCGAGTCCCACCGGTGTCCCCGTGTCCCACCTGGGGGATGCCCCCAGTCCTGCAGGTACCTCCAGGGGTCCCGATTTCAGCAGGTGACCTGACCCCAGATTGCAACCTTTCAAATCCGTGTGGATCCTGCTCCCAAAAATGTCAGCGTCCGTTTGATCCTGATCTCATGAGTGTCCGTGTGGATCCCGGTCCCACAAATGTCCATGTGGATCCTGACCCCATGAATGTCCGTATGTACTGATCCAGGTCCCAGGAGTGTCCATACGAGTCCTGATCCCACAAGTGACCGTGTCCAGGTCAATGTGGCTCCCAGTCCCACGAGTGTCCGTGTCCATGCAAATCGCACAAGTGTCCATGTGGATCTCAGTCCCATGAGTGTCTATGTCCGTGTCCATGCAGATCCCAATCCCACAAGTGTCCACGTCCGTG